TAATGAATTTCCTCAGCATGCTGGCTGCCCTGTCACTGATGCCCTTTTCAGAACATTTCCTTCACCTGGGAAGGGCCCCGCCCACATACAGTCTCCTGGCCCCCTGTTGTGGGCACTGCTGGGACACTAGGGGTGTCTGTGTGGACCTGTGTCTTGTCTCCTCGTGCACTTCCGGAGTGACCTCAGAGTCTCACACAGCTCAGGTTTGTTTGTTGCTTGTCTCCCTTTTCTGTTTTGTTTTTGAGATGGGGTCTTTCTACATAGCCCTGGCTAACCTGAACCTTACTATGTATATATACCAGGCTGGCCTTGAACTCATGAAGATCTCTCTGTCGCTGCCTTTTACCCCAGTGTTGGTATTAAAGGTATATACCACCACACCCAGCTCAGCTCTGGGATTTTAGGAGCCTCAGGTTCCTGCCACTGGACTCCATCCCCTTGCCACCCTCCTGGCACCATGCAGGTGGCAGGAAAGGCCTTGGAGCCCCCAGATCTTGGAACCAGCCCCCGTAGGTCCGTCACTGGCTGTGTGGCCTCATCAGTAAAAGGCATCTGCAACAGAAGGCAGCAGCTGAATCTGTTCCCCCTTCATCCCACCGTTTAGGAGCAAGTGTCCCAATCATGTCACAAGCTCCAAGCTTGGAGATACAGACCAGAAGTTGCAGGGACTCAGTAGTTAAACATGCCTTGGTGGCTGATTGGCAGAGGACGGCTGCCAGTGAATAATTAGATGAAGAAAACTGCAAGGCACTGTGGGAAAAATGCAATGGCACGAGTGGTCCCAGGAAGACACCCTCAGAAGTGAATGTTGAGAAGGGGCCCATCTGGGGACAAGAGGAGGGAAGAGTGCCCTTGTCGTGTGCAAAGGAGCTTGAGAACAAACAGTTCGGGCTGGCTGGAGGGTTGAAGGTGAGCCAGGGCCCAGGGTCATGGAGAGGGTAGGAAGGCAGGGGCCAAAGCGGTGCTGCCCATGTTGGGGAGATTGAAGGATTCTGTTCTCTCTCCTCCCTCTCTCTTCCTCCCTTCCCCTCTCAGTGTGTGTGTGTGTGTGTGTGTGTGTGTGTACACGGATGTGGTGGTTGACTCCTCTCTCACTTTCCACCTTAGCTTTTTTCTTTTTCTGAATTTAAGATAGAAATTTCTTAAATCTCTCTGCATAGCCCTGGCAGGTCTAGAATTCTCTATGTAGAGCAGGCTAGCCTGCAACTCACAACTCACGGAGATCCTACTGCCCCTGCCTTCTGAGTGCTGAGACCCACTTTAATTTTGAGACTGGTTTTGTTTGAACCTAGAGTTGTCAGATTCAGACAGGCTGGGCAGCCAGCCCTGGAGGTCCTCATGCCTGTCCCCTCAGCACCGAGTTGGGGTTACAGGTGGGGTTACCACAGTGCTATTCTTTTATGTGAGTAGCGAAGATTCGAACTCAGGTCCTTAACCCTGTACAGCAAACACTTTTCTCCCTGAGCCTCCTCCCCCTTCTTCTTTTCTTTCTTGGGACTCATGGAAACCCAGGCTAACCTTAGACTCACTATGTAGCTTAGGATGACCTTGAACTTCTGAGCCTCCTGTCTCCACCTCCTGAGTGCTGGGCTCTCAGGTGTGGACTGCCACTCCCAACTCACATGGCGCTGAGGATGAAACCCAGAGCTTCACTGTGACAGGCAAACATCCTGCCCACGGAGCCACATTTCAGCCCTGCTCCCCAGCGTCGCCCAGGCACTTCCGGAAGGGACGCTGCGTCCTGCCACAGCCCCCGCCTCACAGCACTTCCTATGTCCACCTGCTGTGCCTCTGGTGCACACTTTAGTGACACTTAGCCATCCCTGCCTCTCCCTGCGGAACTTTCTCCTCTCTCCAGGCTGAAGCTCTGACCCCCTCAAACATTCCCTCCCCATTCCCCACTCCTGGCACCTTTAGCCCACCTTGTCTCTGTAGATCTGACATCCTGAACATGTGACCTGGGAGCCACTCGGCATCTGCCCATGTCACTCAGCAACGAGTCCTCTTTCAGAAGGTTCTTCCTTTTTTAGGCAGAGTAGTATTCCACACGCATCTGGCCTCATTTTGTCTGTTGGGGGCGGGGGCCGGGGAGTGGCGGATGGAAACTGGTTGCGCCCCCTACGGGCCACAGTGAGTGTTGCTGTGAGTCCAGATATGTCAACCTGGGCTGGAGTGCTTCTCTCACTGATTGTGGGATGCTCTCCGAAGGCTGCTATGGCTATTCTGGGTCCAGCCTTGTGTTCTCAGAGCTGCCACCCTGCTCCTCACAACAGCTGCACCATTCAGTGTTCACTCCTGACGGGTGTTTGACCCTTGTGGCAAAATCGCCAAGGAGGCTTTGTTTACCAGCCTGAGCTCCCTACAGAGTGTGGGAGCAAGCTGCAGGTGTAAGGCTGCTCTTCTTCTGCGGCTCTGACCTACTCCAGTCCCCTTCCGTGTGGAAGAAAATACTGCTTCCTCACATGCCCATGCTGGACCGACAGGGCTGAGGCCTCTGACCTCCCGGGCACCTGGGTGACCACTAGCCTGGGAGCTGATGTGTCCCCTCTCTGCGTTTGTCAGTATGGGTTCTTCTTCTTTTTAGGGTCATCCGAGGTCAGGCAGCCAGGCCTGGTACCACCGTGCTGGGGAAGCTGGAACAAATGCCACAGCTGCATTGGGGTGTGGTTCAGTGGCCTGTGTGGCATGTTCTAGACATCAGATCCCATGCCTACTGTGTGTGTGTGCGCACACACACACATATACACAGAAACAAACAAAATAGTACAAACCAGGTGGTGGCTTAAAAAGTAGAAATGTATTGTCACAGGCCAAAGGCCAGAAATCCAAGGTCAAGGGGGTGGGCAAGGCTAGCTCCTTCTAAGGGTTCAAGGCTCACGGCAGCACCTCCTGAGTTGCTGGGGCTCTGGCAGCCTCTGGCCACTGTGGGAGCTTCACTCTGACTTAGCCCCCAGATCCACATGGAATCTCACTGGTGGGATGTTCTGAGTGTCTTTGTGTGCTTCTCCTGTGTGTGTGTGTGTGTGTGTGTGTGTTTGTGTGTGTGTCTGCCTACAGCCAAATCTCTCTACAGAGACACCAATGGCTTAGGCTGGGGCCTTCCCTGAGCCTGTGCAGCCTCCTATAAGCCATTCACAACTAGCACAACCTCATTTAGAAAAGGCTGTGTTGTGTCAACCAGGGTCAAATGGTTAGCTATGAACTGAGCAAGGAGGACATGCCTGTACTCCTGCCTCCCTCCTAACCCAGGCCTGGTACGAAGCCAGTGGCCTCTGACCAAGGTCGGGGGACAGAGTCCCAGGAAGACAGTCAGCTGCAGGAGTGGCCTAGACTTCTGTCGGGACAGTTTTAAATATTAGCCAACAAACACTTCCTAGGCCTTGCACTCCTCCCCAGAAGCTGCTGAGGTGCCTGGCACAGGGGTCACTTTTCCTAGATGCCCTGGATGCCAGTTCCTCAGGGCACAATTCCAGGGACTGGGGCCTGCTGAGGGGCTAGGGCTGTCTACCTATCCTGATGCTGGAGGTAGCTTCATGCCAAGAGTCTCATGATGAAGATAGGGAGCTGGGCCCGCCTTGGGCATGGCTGTCAGGACAGGCTGCAGCTCTGGAAGTGGGTAGCAAGAACAAAGAAAGGAAGGGACCTCTGCCTGAAGTTCTTCACCCAATAAAAACAGTCCCTAGAGAGATTCATAGTTTGCTCCGTGGCCAACCTAACTGGGTTTGGAATTGCCTGGGAGACACACCTCTGTGCTTGTGTGTGAGGCTATTTTCAAAGAGGTTTAACTGAGGGAAGACGCACCCAAAATGTGTGTGTGGGGGGCACAGTCCCATGGACTGAGATCCCAGACTGAATAAAAAGGAGAAAGTGAGCCGAGCACCCACCGTTCATTTCTCTCTCTACCCCTGACTGTGGATGCAATGTGACCAGCTGCCTCTGGTCCCATTGCCATTGTGGCTACCCCACAATGATGGGTACCAAACCATGAGCTTAGGAGGAGAAAGGGCTGGGCACCACACTCATCCCTCACTACTGCGCCCCAGCACTCTACCCTCTGCTTCCTGGTTTGTGGAGATGTGCACAGGCTCCTGACATCACAGCCTCAGTCTGCCCTCATCACCAAGCCTTCCCCTCATGGTGAGGGACTGTGTGCCTTCAGACTGTGAGCCAAAGTGAATCCCTTCTCCCTTGTGACGCTTCCAGTCAGGGGTTTAGTCACATCAATAAGGAAATTAACACAAGGGAAGGAGGGGATTCTCAAACAGAGCAAACCTCTCTTCTTCTCTCCATGCACACAGACTACACACTTAGGAATAGAGTTCACACACACACACACACAGAGAGAGAGAGAGAGAGAGAGAGAGAGAGAGAGAGAGAGAAGACTGTAAGTCAAAAGTTGAGAGTCCATTTGTGTGCATGCCTCACACACACACACATACCTCTCTGGAATACACCAACACCCTTCTACACGCTCTTGTGAGTATTTGCAAATGGAAGAACTCACAGACACATGCCTGTGGGCAGCGCCTCAGCCTTTCCTCAGGACACAGCCTTCCTGACACCAAAGCCTGCAGACCTTCCCCATCTTGACCAGAATGTCCCACTTGGAGCCTCAGGGCATCCCGATCCTGTATCCCAGCTGCTAAATAGCGAGACAGAATGACACATTTAATGTTTGAATCTTAGCTCCCCCCACTGTCCATTTCCCCTGACTGACAAGACTGTCTGACATTGGCTGGGCCCCACCTGGGGTTTGGGTTACCCCTGCAATGAGAACTTCCTCTCACATGACCCCACACACATCTTGAACTTCGAGTCTTCCAGGGTCTTTGACTCAAGCCCCTTCGCAGCTGACACTTGCTCTTTGAAAGCCACAAAAGGCAAGCAAGTTCTTGGTCCCCAAAGTAGCCAGCCCAGAGACAAGGGTGTGGCAGCCAGGCCTTCGGGTGGATCCTGGGTACCTTCTGGGGTTGGTCTCGGAGGGGTCTCAGGATGGCCATTCAGGCCACAGCCGGTCCACCTGTATCCAGCCGGGTGCTTGGAGTGGCCCTAGGAGACAAGGGCTCCCTCCTGCCATGGTCCCCTGGGCTCTGCTTCTTCTGCCTCCGCTGCCTGGGCTGACCGCCCTCACCGGGGGCCCGTGGCTGGGCGCTCTGCAGCAGCCGCACCATCTCATGGTCCTTGTGGCCCAGCACTCGGGGCAGGAAGAGGGAAGACTTCTGTGTGCGCCGGGTTTTGAAGCCCCTGCGTGGCCTGCCCTTGCCATTCACAGACACGTACCAAGGTCTCTGGGCACCAGGCTGCCGTCGAGCCCCTGGCCCACTGGGCCCCGTGCGGTACAGGCGGGATGCGTATGTGTTGTAGCCCAGCTCATGGATCCGCTCCACAAACTCACACTCTGCGTTGTAGTGCTCCTGCGGGACAGAGGACAGTCAACTTCCACGGAGGCCATGATGTCCACATGATGTCCACGCCTCCCCAGTGGCTCGGTCTCTCCTGGACCACCTGTCCCCACCTGCCAGTGCAGCCTGGCCATCCTACCTTTTCCAAGAGCGGGCTCTGCTTTAAGTGACTTCCCTCCACCGGCCCTCCGATGAGGATGGAGGGCCGTTTCTCCCTTTTGCTGTATCCTGGCACTTGGCTCATTGCTTGGTGTGTGGTAGATGGAGCACGGTGAAGGTAGATGGTTGGCTGGTGTGTCGAAGGGTGAATGAATGAGTGGGTTGGTGAGTGGCTGGAGAGGTGGATGGATGGTGGATGGATGGTGGATGGATGGTGGATGGATGATGGATGGATGGTGGATGGATGGGTGGGTGGCTGAGTGGCTGTGTAGGTAGATAGATAGTTGGGTATAGGGATGGCACATAGGTGGATAGATGAATGGATGATGGGGTGATGAGTGTCTAGGTGGGTGGCTAGATGGCTGGGTGGCTAGATGGCTGGGAGGATGTTTGGGATGGTTGGCCTAGATGGATGAGTGGATAGATGGTAGTATGGGTGGATGACAGAGTGTAGGGGTGGGTGGATAGGTGGCTGGCTGAGTGGATGGATGGATGGATGGATGGATGGATGGATGGATGGGTGGATGGATGATAGACAGTGAACGGATAGGCTGGAGGGCAGAGAAATTGCCAGCCTGTCACTCAAACCCAAGGCTGTTGCAGCTCCAAGTGGGAAGGGACCAGGCCCGTGTGACAAGGTGAGACTTCTGGGATTAAGCAGCAGCGGGTGAGGGGCAGGTTGAAGACGGCAATGCAAGGAGCACAGCTGAGGGCTTAGAGATGGCTGGAGGTGAGGCTACGCGGCCCATCACGTGTAGTGAGGGTTTTGGTGTCTTTGAAAACCCATTTAGGTTATGGAAACGTGTCTTTGTTTTAATCCAAGGTATGGAAGGTGGGGCTGCTTCAGACCATCCACTGATGGTGTGTGTGCTCCGGCAGAGGAGGGATTCTGCTAGCTGGAGATAGCTTAATTCTGGGGGACTCTAGAGAGGGTATGAAAAGATCAGAGCCCCAAGAGAGGGGGTGAGGCTCTTCCTCCTACTGGTTTCTGCTTCTGCTGATTTGTTAAGCGGTCAAGGGGAAAGAGACAAGAAACAGTCGGAGATATCCTGGTGAGATGAAGATTGGACTTGCCTCAAGGAACTCCACTCCCCCTAATCAGCAGGAAGCAGCCTAGAAAGGACTACATCCTTTCCCCCCCCCAGCCTTCTTTCTCTCCTACCTAGTATTGGGGGCATTGGAAGGGATTAGGGTGGAATAGCTTGTTCATTCATTTCCACGGAGGTCTGGGACCCCGATGCCATGCTCTCTTCCTAGCTCCACCAGTGTGCCTTTCAGAGAAAGAGACTGACTTCAGACAGGTGAGAAGAACAATTCTCGAGCACCTAAAGTCTGTTGGGTGGGCACTCAGAAGCCCAGGGAACTGGACCAGTTTGAGTCTGGCATGACCCCAGGGGGAGGGAGCAAGCTTTTTACCACTCATGTCCTCTCCGACCCGTAACCAGAAGTTCAAGCCAGATGGCTGGCTATTCCATCAGCACCCACCCGCTAGCGATGGGACTCACCGAAGCATAGAGCCGTCCTCTCTTGTTCATGGCCAGGTACCGCCCCGAGAAGAGCCCTTTGATGGCCACTATGCCCACCTCCACGGCAGTAATCTCCAGGATGCCTGGAAAGAGGCAGGAAAGGTCCATCAACTTCTCTACCTAAACAGAACCTCTGCCTGAGCAAGCCCCCTTACACACACACACACACACACACACACACACACACACACACACACCCCGCCGCCAAGGCTTTGGAAACTGGGAAAGAAGAGCAGCCACGACCAGCAGGTGGAGGTGGGGGCTTGGAACTCCTAGTAGAGAGAAAGTATTGGGCAGGTTGTGAAAAAGGGGGACACACAGCCGCTGTGCCCAAGACATTAATCCTAACCCCAGAAGACACGATGGGAGTGTCCTGCCCCTGCCATGTCCCTTGGGCACAACCCGGGCAAATCGAGCCAGTCTGTAATTGGTGCAATCTTGTGGAAAGGCTCAGTCTGGCAAGCAGAGGCTGAGGACACCTTGTCCAAGGCCACATGTAACGGTTTAGGGAGCCAGACCCCGGGACAGGTGGAGCCCCAGAAGAGGAGGTGCTGAGACAGCTAGAGAAGCCAGCGTTTCATACCGCCCAGTCAGAGGGACCCCGCCCCCAGGCCCCGGTGGCCGGCCAGGGATCCAAAGATGGGTGTTCAAAGGTGGCCTGCCTCCGCAGGGCCTCGCCCCTGAGGGAGGGTAACAGGACTCGCCCAGGCCCAAGAGGCACAGAAGTTAACGGGCCCTCAGCAAAGATGGCAGAGTAGCCACCAAGGCTGACCACCAGAGTTTGAACCCGGGACCTACATGGTGAAAGCAGAGAACCGACTCCAGCAAGGGGTCCAATGACCTCCACACACACACACACAAAATAAATAAAAATAAATAAATAAAATGCAAAACCGACCAACCAACCAACCAGCTTCCACCAGCGGCTTTCTGTGCCGAGCACAGTGCTTTTAGGAGGGGAGGGGAAGGGAGGGGAGGGGGGAGAAGGGGAAGGGAAGTTAATGTCCCCTGAGATAGTGGGTTGAGGACTCACACCCTTTTCAGGGAGCCCCTCTCTGGCGCCCACCTGGGACCCAGAATGGTCCAGATAACCGGGACCAGCTGAGGTTCTGCCCTAGCCACCGTTCGGAGGGGTGCAGGGTGCAGGCTCTAGAGCTGGAGCCGGAGGAGCGCCGGCCTGGGTGTCCCGGGGGGCGGCAGCGAAGTGCCCCTCCTCTGCACCTGGGGCCCGCCCAGAACCGGACAGCTAGGGAGGAGGTGCGCCTGAGGAGCCCCAAGTTCAGGCCCGAGAGGGGCTGGTCCCCAGCCCGCCCCCGCGGGGCTGCGGCTTTTCGGGAGGAAGCTGCGGTTCCCGCCGCCGCCCGCGACCCCTGGCTCTGCTTCCTGAGCCCCGGGCACCGTGAGCTCTGCGCGGCCTCCCTCCCACGCGGTGCGCAGAGCTCCGGGGCCGAGCTCGGCTCCCGCGCGCCGCGCCCACCAAGCCGGACCCTTGCAGCGCTCGGGAACCGGCGCTGGGCACTACCGAGCCGCGGGCCGCGGATGCGTGCCAGCTGCTTCCAGGGCGCGCGTGGACGCCCGTCCGGCCCTGTCGCGCCCTCTCGCTGGGCGCAGGACGCCAGAGTCGCGAAAACCGGAGCTCTGCCCGGGGGAGGAGTGTCCTTGGCGCATGGGCTGAGAGCAAGGACGGGAAGGGACCGGCCGTGCGCCCCGGGGTCGTCCAAACAATAAAGAGGGCGATAAATCCTTGTCCAACGGCTTTTCAGCGAGGAGCACAGACGTGTCAGGGTGGAGGTCGCCTCCCGCGCAGCCCCCGGGAGAGCGGGACGGGGCGGAGCAGCTCGCGGGAAGCGCGGCATCGTCCTCACCCCGATCTCCGTTCCCACCCGGGACGCGGCGACGGGGGACGGCGGCCCCTGTCCCCACAGGCGGCCGGACACTCACTGTAGGCGCTGTTCTCCAGGCTGCCGTTCACGCGGCCGCTCGGGTGCAGCTGGAGGTGGTACTTGGTGGCGCAGTAGAGCTTGCGGCGCCTGGGCGCCCCGCCGAGGTGCTCATAGACGCCGCCGCGGCCGGCCGCATCGCGCCGCAGCCTCGTCCCGGGCCCCGCCGCGGGCCAGCCGGGTTCCAGCAGGCTGAGTAGCAGAAGCCAGATCAGGCCCATCCCGGCATCGCGGCCGCCCGCATCGGCGGCGGCGCCAGCGCCCGGCGCGGGGCTCGGGAAGGCGCGGCGCTGGGGGGCACACGCCCGAGCGCGCGCGCGTCAGGCTGTGCCTGCTGTGACTGGGAGGGGAGGAGAGGGAGAGGGGCACCAGGGAGGGGTGGGGGACGGGGGAGGGAGGAAAAGGAGGGGAGTCAGGGAGAGAGATGGAGAGAGAGAGGAGGAGAGGGACGGGTTTGGAGAGGGGGAGAGGGAGAGGGAGAGAGGGCAAGAGGGACGGTTGGAGAGGAAACGAGAGGAGGGGGAGATGGGAAGAGGAGACTGAGTTTTCACCCAGGGATGGGAGCCCTGTTTTCCCTTGCGGCGCACAGCTCCGAAGAAAGGGCGCTCGGTTAACAAAAGCCGGCCGCGGTCCCCGGCGGGGGCGCGGGGCTCAGGCCAGGCGTCGCCTGCGCTCAGCGCCGGGACCAGCGCCGTCGGGCCGCCGCGCGCCCTGCGCCCCCTCCCACCTCTGCAAGGTCCCCGCCCCGCCCCCAGACCAATTATGTCTCGGAAAATTATAGAGCGAGGGCTAAAGGCAGCCGCCCCCAGGCCCTGTCACACACCCCCCCCCCCCGCTTTACATCAATCCTGGGTGCACAATGGGACCGCGGGTGACTGATGTCTGCGCAAACAACTTGCGGGGAAGTCTGGCTGAGGAACGCTCTTGAGAGGCGGCGCCTAATCGAGAGCGATTGTCGAGGGTGGCGCGTGGGGAGCCTGGGCTTGGATCTGCGCAGGTCGCTTCTCACACGAGCCGCAGGGCTATCCTCGGGCGCCCAGTCTCGTGACCCAAGGGCCCTTGGGACTCTCTGTCTTGAAGCTTCGCGACGGACCGGAAGACACGGAAGGAAACTGGCACACCTTGAGCCGGAGTGTTCTGTCCCATCGGTGGTCCAGAGAGCGGACTGCGCAGATGGAAGCAGGGACAATAAAGTCAGAGCGTCTTAGAGCCCTGGAGATGTAGGCAGGGACAGAAATGGGGGTGGGGGAGGCAGGTGGCAGATCCAGTAGAAGGGAAAGAGGGATGAGGGAGGTGGGAGGCGGAGAAAAAGGGAGAGAAGACGCCACAAAGATCCCTAGCACACTCACCTGGGGAAGCTGAGCGGGAGTCTAGGCTCCGGGAATAGCTTCCTGGACCCTGAGCTTTTGACCTCAGTTCTCCATCTGCTGAGGGCCTCAAAGAAGAAAAGGTTCCTGGTGTCAGAAGAGGTCCCACCCCACCTCCTTGGCCTGTGCCTCCCGCGGTCCCCGGCCAGGAGCTACTGTCACATAGGTGTGCCTAAGGGCCCAGTGGCTTGGGTCTCAACATTGGCTGCCAATGTGCCGAGCTCCGGGAAGAGTCAGGAGGTGGGAGGCTCTTGGTAGATATGAAATCCTGAGAACGTCAAAGGGTGGGGGGTGGGGACCCCCACCCCCACCCCATGGTACAGAAGCTGTTAATAGCACACTCTGGGGCTTTCTTTTCTTTCCCCCTTTTTTCTTCCTTCCTTCTTTCCTTCTTTTCTTTTCTTTTCTTTTCTTTTCTTTCTCCCTCCCTCCCTCCCTCCCTCCCTCCCTCCCTCCCTCCCTCCCTCCTTCCTTCCTTCCTTCCTTCCTTCCTTCCTTCCTTCCTACCTTCCTTTATTCCTTTCGTCCTTTCTTCCTTTCTTCTTTTCTTCTTTTCCTTTTTGACACACGTTATTCTGTGTGTAGCCCTGGCTGTCCTGGACTCGCTTGCTTTGTAGATGAGGCTGGCCTCAAACTAACAGTGATCCACCTGCCTCTACCTCTCAAGTGCTGATATTAAAGGCTTCCCTGGGGTCATTTTCAAGTCTGAGACCTCATATACAGGGTAGTAGGTCCTCTGGGAGCCCTCTCTGGCGTGCTGATGTCGGGCGTCCCCCACAGCTGAGCACCCTCCAGCAGTCTCCCACAGCCTCTGTCATAGCCAGGGTCTGGCTGGCTCCTGAGAAGCCTTGAGCAGACTAAGGCACAGAATTGCTAAGGCCAGTGATGGAACCTGCTTTACAGGGGATAGGGAGAGCATCCAGGACAGCTTAGTGGGCAGGGCTATCTGCTCTGTCTTGCTGACCAGCACTGGGCTGGCACATGCTGGCAGCACAAGCTTCTAAGATGGCACTAAAGAATGAAGAGGGCATCTCCTCCCTAGACGTCTCTAGCACAGCTTCTGGAACCAGCTACCTCCCTGTGTTTGGCCAAGAGAAGCCCAGAAGCCAGATGTGCTGGCACAGGCCCGCCATCTTGGCACTGAAGCTGCGGAAGCAGGAAGAACTTGGGGTTCAAGGCTAGCCTCAACCGCAGAGCAGATCTGAAGCCAGCATCAGCTTTGAGACCTGTCTTTAAAGCAAATAAATACATCTAAGAAAGGGTCTGGAGAGGTGGCTGACTGGTTGAGAGCACTGGCTGCTCTTGCAGAGGACCTGGGTTCAGTTCTCAGCACTCACCTGATGGCTCTCAAATGCCTTTAACTCCAGTTCTAGGAGATCTGACACCATCTTCTGGCCTAGGAAGGCATGAGGCACATATCAGGTGCAAATACCTACATGCAGGTAAAAAAGAGCCATACACATCACAACAGATAAATCTTAACACACACACACACATACACACACACACAGACTGGAGGAGACAAGAAGAGATGGAGGGAGGAAAGGAGAGAGTAGGGGTATAGGGACTGGGATGGTGTCTTCCTTTGTGGGTGTCTGGGAGACTGGGAGGAGCCAGAAGAATCTCATTGGACAACTTGGCCTCAGAGCCTCCCTCCTGCTCCACACCTGAACCCCCACATTTCCTGTTGGGTGTGTCCTTTGTGGTACCTTCTCCTGGACCACCCAAAACTCCATAGCTCTCCAGAACATGCACACGGTATAACCCTTTGAGGCACTGGTTTCCTCCGTATATAAATTCTAAACCCACGCCAGAAGCTCCCTACCAGCCGCTGCCACCGTCAGTGACCAGATCATGACACCGTCACAGAGACCTCAGGTGCCTTTGAGAGTGATGGGCTTCAGTGGTCCAGCAGGTGATATGGCCCAGACCTTCCCTTGTGGTCCTGGCTGACTTTGGCCTGTTCCTCAATTGTCCCCAAGGCATCCATCCTTGTAGCCCAGGGTCACCCACACTCCTCTGGGTCTTGTGCAAGTGTCCACAGGCTCTACTGCAAACCCTCCACCATGCAGGTGGAAGGAGCTGCCCCATCCCAGCTCATCCCTGTAATGGAGGCCTTGGTGTAGGTGAGCTTGGACCCTGGGGCTCATACCCCTAGCCTGCTTCCTACAGCCCTCATTTATCCAGTGAGGTTTTCCTGCACCTCTCTACACCTGCCTTTTTGGCCTTGGAAGTCCCAGCACTCTCCTCAGGTGATGAATGGACCCACTGCTAGGTCTTCAGATGCTGCCTCCTCTCCCCCTGCCCCCTCCCCACAGAGGGACCTTGAGCTGGGCCAGAGCTGGGCCTCCATTGCAGTCTCCCTGGGCTGGGCTGAACCTCTGTCTTCCCTTCCTGTACAGAGAAGAGCCTAGCAGAGCATGTAGGGAGTGGAGTGGGGAGCAGAGCATATAGGGGGTGGGGGGGCAGAGTGTGTCGGAGGTGGGAGCATAATATGGTAATGGAGACCCTGTTAATTGCTTCCAAATGGCCAATTGCAGCCGTTTGACTAATTGGTCTCTTCCAGCTGCCCCCCCAACCTCTCTCCTGGCCTGGACACCCCCAGACCAGGCTGAAGCTTACTTCACATTGCTTCCAGGGCCTGTTCCGGAAGCTCCTTCCTCTAATCTCTCTGGTCCTTCGGGGCCCTGGGCTTGCACCTAAAGAGAGAGCTAGGGAGAGGACAGGCAGGGGACAGTGCCCTGTGATGTCCCTGGCTTTTGGCCCCAAACTCATTCTTTACTCCACCATTAAAGGCAGGGCAAAGAGACCCAGTCTGCTTGCTGGGTGCTGACCTGGGGCCACTGTCACCCTGAAATCCTAAAAGCACCTTAGCCCTACCAAGCCCACAGAGGTAAGCTGCCTGGTTCAGGAGCTTACAGCTGGGAGATGGTGTGTGTGTGCGTGTGTGTGTGTGTTGGGGGGGGGGTTCTGCTGGAGTCACCTGTCATCTGTGTGCTTCAGCAGGCTGGGGCTGATTTAAGTATCCAGTTGAGTCCCTGGACCTTTGCCTCTGGTACTTCATGGGTGGTACCCTAAAGCCCAGGGGAGCCTTTCCTGCTTGCTGTGGGGTTGCAGGTGCAGTGGGCAAAGTGGACCACGCAGGGGTGCAGATGGGCTTTTCATCCGGCGCAGGACCATGGGTGGCAATGGTGTGTCTTCAGTCTCCCCGATGTGGACGCACACAGCACAGGCAGGTCGTACTCACATGAAGTTTGTGACAGCCACAGCCTTGCTCCAGGCCAGTAGGAGTCCACCAGCTGAGGAGGCTGTGGACTCCTAATACCGCATGTGTGAGCTGCTCTGAGCCAACCTGGAAGAGAACACTCCTGCCCCCGTAGGGACTTGAGCCTACAGGTGCCCAAGGGCAGCAGGGACCACGGGACGGAGAGTGTCCCTTCTCCAACATGCTTGAGAATCTTGGAGTGGGTTCTGCTCCGGATGTGGAAGTGGGAGTTTGGGCAACAGGTGGGGATAAATGGGGGCAAGAGATACCCAGGGGGTGGTTTACAGGGGCTCCGGCTTTCAATCAAACAGATTAATTTTTCCTTGTAACTTATCCGTATTGCTTCGATACTGAAACACTTAATTGTGATACTCGACTTAAAGTGGATGCTTCAATCGCTTAAAATTACTTTTATTTTATGTTGTGAGTGTATGGCTGTATGCATGGCCGCGCACCACACGTTTGAAGTGTTAATGGAGGCCAGAAGAGGCCGATAAACCTCCTGGAACTTGGGTTACAGATGGTTGTGAGCCACTGTGTGGGTGTTGGGACTCAAACCCAGGTCCTCTGCAAGAGTAGCCGATGCTCT